TTTCCTCAACCGGTTACCCGAAATTTATTCGGTTCGGGTCGGTTAACTGATTATAGCTTAACCGATTCAAGTCACTATGCCTAATACACTTTTTGAAGCTGCTGAACAAGCCTGAAGGTGTGAAACGATGATTGCACAAGGATCTTTCTTGGCTTATCAAACTGAAGTGTCTTATTTGATGTATCCATCAAGCTCTAGAGTAACAACCTCTGTACCTTCTGCAACAAGAAGCTCAGTAGCACAAATAGCAACATTATTACAAAAAATTGTTTCAAAGGTAAAAAGTAATAGTAACAATAGCTATCGGCCAGGAGGAACCCAATCGACCACCCTCCAAAGTCAAGCTTTAGTTGACTTTAAAACAGTGGTGTAGTTGGAATTAAAATTAAAATAGATGAGCATCAGGCATCTGGATATTACCAAAGATTGGCAAAACCAAGTAATACCAATAGTGCTGTTAAAAATAATGTGGATATTGGATGCATAGATTTTGATAAAGTGAATCGAAGTAATGAAATAAAGATTAAAAGCTCACCTGCTGTAAGCTATGATGGATACAGTAATAAAAAAATGTTGACAAAACAAATTACAAGTCCTAATGACATAGATATGAAATGAATTAATAAACAGGAAAAGCACAAGGAATGATACAATTCTGGATTCTGTTATGAAAATGGGATTAAAGTTGTTGAATATGATTATAGAATACTCGAACAGAATTTTGATTCCTATAAAAGTGACAACCCAAGATTTGTTAAAAATCGAAATTTGAATGAATGTTTGGTTTTTAAGGATTGTGTGCAAAATAAAATTGACAATGAAAGACCTAAAAAGAACATTGACGAGATAAACGATTTTGAATATTGTTATGACAACAGAATGAGAGTAAAGGACGATCATAAAGCATTTAAGGAAAGTATAAAATGCATCGAAAGTGAAAAATTATTAGTGGAAAATAAAGTGGAAAATGATAACGAAGGATTAGAAGGAAAGTCAGAAAGTATTACAAGGCAAATTGAAGAGTATGTAAATAAAAGTATCGAGAGTAAAGATCAAAATGATGCAGTTCGTACAGATACAAAGGGTGAAGTCGTAATGAAAGTGAATAAAAGTGAAGAGATAGATAAAGAAGTTAATGAGAGTAGTGATGAAGTGATTCGAACAAATGATGATAAAAAGAAAGGCTTACCTTTGTTGAGCAACAAGCCAGCTCCAAAGATCGAATCTAAAAATATAATGCTTGACGATAAAACTTATGGAAGATGGATATAAGTTGTTTAACACAAATGCATATAAAGAATTACTTACCGATTTAAGTAGATCAGCGAAATTAAGACGAAATGCAAATAGATATGTATTGTATGCAAATTACTTCGAAAATGGCAATTTGAACAAACAATATGGTGTTGGATGGTGTATGAATAAGGAACACAACTGTAATGACTATGTTGTAAGGCAAAGACATAGGAACGATAAGGTGGTGTATTTTTTTGAACGATACTAAGAATTTGATCATTGGATTAAACATCAGTAGAACTATCGAAGCTGCGTATACAAGGTGGAAGCTGAAAATCAAATCGTTTAAGGCCCAAAATAATATAAGCGAACATAAAAATCAAAAGGATAATATAACATCATGTAATGTATTAAATCAGAGTGCAAAGGTTAATCAGAAATATAAGAAATGGTTAAAAAAAGTTAGCGAATTCTGGACGATCAAGTGCAAAGAAAAAGAAATAGAACTTACCAAAGAAATAGTTGAAACAATTGCGGAAAGTAGTAAAGTCGATGAACGATTTGATCCAAGAGGACATGGTGATCAAAATGGAAAAGGTCTTTATGAAACGAATGATGAGCTAAAGAAAGATAGACAAGAAGTGTTAGTTGGTGACAATAACTATAACGATAAAAGAATTAAACGGCATCTAAAATATAATAAAGACAAACCTGAAGAGAAGACGGCATTCAGGATTCAGATGACAAAAATCACCATAATAATAATATTAACATATAGTCTTGTCAATTTGATCTTCAATCCTAATAGAAACCTGAGGATTGAATTGAGTTGGATTAGTATAATGAAAAACAAAAAGAAATTTTATTTTTTTTATCAGTATATATGTAGATCCCAGTTCACTAATATAATCGACCAAAATGCTTCGACTTTCTCAAACTTGGCTCGATTCGTCTTCGATCCTGGAGGAAATTTGAGAATTAGATCTAATTAGATTAGTATAGTGAAACGCAGAAAAAAAAAAACATTTATTAGTAATACTAATAACATTGATTCAGGTCATATTCAACAATACAAAATGAAATCAGAATTACTTAACCACTGAGGTACAATTGGAATTTTCAAGTTGTGAACAATTTACTTAAATTGAAATCACATGGTGGCATTCATATACAAAAAAAAAAAAAAAAAAAGTACATGTCCCTGGTTTAATGCATTACTATCTCGACGCTTGAACAAATGTTAGATTCTGACTTTCTAAAATTGCTGACGAAAGCAAGGAGGCTGAGGGAGGAGAAAACACGAAGGCTGTTGATGGGTTCAACGGAGCTCACCCTTCAAGAGAAGGAGTATGTTATGAAAAATTTGTCAAAATTTTTCATACCTTGCATTTTCGCTATGTAGTTTCTTTATTTTCCTATATAAAAGTAGTAAATTATGTAGTCACAATAGTAATAGCATGTGTACAGATTTGTAACCCGGAGTTAAAGTTTGAAACCCGAAATCTGGGTTCAAAACCCCAGATCTTGGTTCGAAACCCCAGATCCGGGTTTGAAACCCTTGAATATCGAAATGTATAAATAGGGTGCTTGACTAGTAAATAAAGTAACTCCTTTTTCTAACCTTTTTCAAACCTTTCCTGACTTTTTCGAACTCTTTCTTATTTGGCTTCAATAATATAAAAGTAGATACTTTACCTATCTCTTCCTAACTCTTTCTTATTTTGACCTGATAATAAATATATAATAAGCTTTGACCTAACTTGAACCTATACGTAACCTGTGATGACCTAACCTGGACCCTACATAACCTAACTGCAATCTATAATGACCCGACTTGTACCCTAAGTAACCTAAGCATAACCCGTGACAACTTCATGTGAATATAGTCTTATTAAACCAGCGATACCTACTTCAATTGATAGGGATGTCATTGGCTACACTTGAAGCCAACTTTAGCCATAGTTTGAAGCCAAGCTGAAATTAAGCCAAGCTAATAGTTTAAGCTATAGCTTGAGCTATAGTTTAAAAATTGCTTAAAGTTATAAAAGAATAACTATTGATCCTGACTTTAAATATAGCTAACAGCTTAAACCATGGCTTAGTTATAGCTTGGCTATGGACTTTGTTGAGATAAGCTAAGCTATCCAAGCCAACAACATCCCTATCAATTGATAACTAATACTACATACGGATCTGGATTGTGCAACTTACCAGCAAGATTTATGCTTACGGCACTAGACTAAATTGGCCTGAATATATGAAAACTCTTCCAAGTCGTAACAATATTCAGCAAACTAGTTGGATGATATACTAAAATTAGTGATAATTACTTGATAGTATTTCAATATGCTGATAATGGAAGTCTTCACAAGTTTTTAAAAAATAATTTTTATGATATTACTTAGCAGTGGGGTGATACTTTTGGGTAAGACATTAGTCTTTTTTTGTTAGCTTATTTTTTTCTTTCATTAGTTTTTCTTTTTTTCTTTTAGTTGCCTTTACTAACTTCGATTTTTTCTTCTTTCTTTAGATTTTTAGGCTGTGCTGGATGTGAATCAGTATTGAGATAATGCTTTCTGATAATACATTAGTTTTCTTTTGTTAGTTTTTTTTTTTTTTTTTCTTTTTTTTAGTCTTTACTATTCTTTTTATTTAGATTTTTAGATTTTGCTAAACGTTAATCAACAGCAGGATGATATTTTGGGTAAGACATTAGTTTTTTTTAAATTTTTTTTTTTTTTTAGTTGTCTTTACTAACTTTGGTATTCTCTTCTTTTTTTTTTAGATTGTTAGACTTCACCAAACGTGAATCAGCAGCAGGATGATGCTTTTGGGTATGATATTAGTTTTTGTTTTTTTTTTATTAGTTTACTTTTTTTCTTGTCTTGTTATTTAACTTCGATATTCTTTTTTTTCTTCTTTAGGCTTTAGCTTTGCTGGTATAAATCAGTAACAGAGTGGTACTTTTGGGTAAGTTATTCTTACCTTTCATATGAATTAGCATTAAGGCATGCTTTTTGGTAGGTTATTTTTACGTTACTTTTTTTTTGGGGTTTTTTCTTTTTTCTCTAGGTTTTTTTGGCTTTGCTGAATATGAATTAGTACTGGGCGATACTTACAGATAAGTTATTCTTTCTTTGTTACTTTTTTTTTCTTGTTCTCTAACTTCGCTATTCTTTTTTTCTTTTGCTAGGTTTTTGGGTTTCACAGGACGTGAATTAGTACTGGACAGCACTTTCAGGTAAGTTTTTTTTTTGTTGTTTTTTTTGTTCTTTTTCTTTTGTTCTTTTTAGTTTGCTTGTTAATAACTCTGATATTCTTTTTTCTTCTTTTTTAGGCTTTCAGGCTTCGCTAGACATGAATTATTTCCAGAGCAGCATTTTTCAGATAAGTTATTCTTTTTTTCATTTTTTTTTTCTAGTTTTCTTGTTCACTAACTTTGTTATTCTCTTTTCTTTAAGTTTTGGGCTTCATTGAATATAAATTAGACTGGGCAGTAATTTCGGTAAGATATTTATTTTCTTTCATCAATTTTTTTCTTTTTGTTAACTTCGATATTCTCTTTTTTCTTCTTTAGGTTTGGTGCTTTGTTAGATATGAATTAGTAGTGGGCAGTAATTTCATTAAGATATTCGTTTTTTTTTGTCGATTTTTTTGTGTACTAATTTGTTTTTTTTTTCTGGTCTTCAGAGTAAACCAGTTCTGGTGCTACACTTTCTGTATTTTTTTTTTTTTGTATGCTTCACTGGAATATAAATTTTTTTTTTTGTATTGATAATGAATATATGATTTTATGATGTAATAAATTGCAGTATAAAAAATTTTAATAAATTAAATGTTTGTATAATTACGTAGTGCACTGGCCAAAGACCTAGGGTCTAATACAAAATACCTATCAAAAAACTTACAAAAGTCTCAGATATATTATACCACAGTGGGTCATCTATATACATATTCCGTATTCATTATAAGATTAAAGTTCCATATATTAAAAATTTTGATAGTGTTAATGTTTTAAAACTTTGATCGTAGATATCTCAGCATTCACTTAATCAAAATTGATAAAATTTTTTTTATTCGAATTCTACAGATCTGTAGAATTCGAATAAAAAAATTTTCATCGAGTTTGATTAAGTGAGTGCCAAGATATCTTCAATCAAAGTTTTAGAGAATTTTTAAACACCTATTATATAGAAACTGTATCAAAATTTTTAAGACAACTTTGATCGCATTTAAACTTTAATCGAAGATATCTCAACAACCATTTAAAAAAAATCAATAAACTTTATTTATTTTAATTCTACAAGTAGGTAAATTGAAAAAAAACATGTTCATCGAATTGGCTTAACTTGTCGAGATATCTTCGCTCAAATTCAAAATTC